TAGCAAATCAGATCTAGCATTATGTTAGAAAGATCATATACCATGACCAAGTGGGATTTATTCTGGAGATGGAAGGCTGGTATAATATCTGAAAATCAATAAACATGCTATATCACATAAAGAAATTAAGAGAAAAAAAATCACGTAATTTTATCAATTGATGTAGAAAAGGCATTTGACAAAAATCCAACATCCTTCCTTCCTTCCTTCCTTCCTTCCTTCCTTCCTTCCTTCCTTCCTTCCTTCCTTCCTTCCTTCCTTCTTATTTATGTATTTATGTATTTATTTAAAATATATGTTATTGATTTTTTTACAAGGAGGAAGAGATAGAAATAGAGCTAGAAACATCAATCAGCTGCCTCTTGCACACCCCCTACCGGAATCGAACCTGGGACCTTTCAGTCCACAGGCCAATACTCTACCCCCTGAGCCAAACCAGCTAGGGCCCAATACCCTATCTTAATAAAAAACTCTCAGCAAAGTGGTAATTGAGGGATAATACTTCAACATATAAAAGCCTTATAGACAAACCTATAATCAACATCATTCTCAATGAGCAAAAATTAAAACCATTTCCCCCAAGAACAGGAACAAGACAAGGATGTCACTTTTACCATTCTTGTTTGACACAGTACTGAAAGTACTTACTATAGTGATCAGAGAAGAAGAAATAAAAGGCATCCAAATTAGAAAAGAAGTAAAGCTGTCCTTATTAGCAGATGGCATGATATTGTACATAGAAGACTCTAAATACTCTATCAAAAAACTACTAGACTTCATAAATGAATTTGGGAATGTAGTAGGATACAAAATTAACACTTAAAAATATATGGCTTTTTTATACACCAATAAGGAAATCATAGAAAGAAACTAAAAAAAAAAAAAAAACAAAAAAAACAATCCCGTTTACCATTGTAATAAAAAAAATTAAGATACTAGAAATAAACTTAACAATGAAGGTAAAATACCTGTACATAGAAAATTATAGGGTGTTGAAAAAAAAAGAGAGAGAGGAAGATATAAACAAATGGAAGAATATACCGTGTTCATGGATTGATAGAATCAACATAATTAAAATGTCCATACTACCCAATGAACCTATAGATTCAATGCAATCCCCATTAGAATACCAATGGCATATTTCACAGCCCTAGAACAAACTCTTAAAAAATTCATATGGAATTTAAAATAGACCCTGAATAGCCAAAGTGATCCTAAGAAAAAAGAACAACATTGGAGGGATCAAAATACCAGATATAAATCTATATTACAAATCCTCTGTTCTCAAAAACTGCCTGCTACTAGCACAATAACAGACATATACACCAATGGAACAGAATAGAGACCCCAAAAGTCAACCCAAGCCATTATGCTCAATATTTGACAAAGGAGGAAAGATCATACAATAGTGTTAAGAAAGTCTCTTCAGTAAATGGTGTTGGGAAAATTGGACAGATGCATGCAAAGAAATGAAGTTTAATCAACTTACACCATGCTAAAAAATAAACTCAAAATGGGTAAAGCAGTTAAATGTAAGACAGGAAACCAAAAAAATCCTTGAAGAATCCATTGGCAGCAAAATATCAAACATATGTGGTAGCAATGTATTTACTGGTACTACTTCTAGGGCAATGGAAACTAAGGAGAAAATAAACAAATGGGACTACATCAAAATAAAAAGCTTCTGCACAGCAAAAGAAACCATCAACAAAACAGGAAAGCTCATTGCATGGGAGAACATATTTGCCAATGTAATATCCAATAAGGTGCAGGGAACTCATACATCTTAACAAAAGGAAGATAAACAATCCAATAAAGAATGGAAACTAAATAAAAATTTTTCTAAAGTGGATATACAGAAAGCCAAAAGGCATATGAAAAAATGCTCAAAGTCATTAATCATCTGAGAGATGCATATCAAAGCAACAGTGGGTACCTTCTCACAACAAATCAAAAAATAAGAAGTGCTGGTGAGGATGTGGAGAAAAAGGAACCCTCATACACTGCTGGTGGGAATGAGATTGGCACAACCACTGTGGAAGATAGTATGGAGTTTCCTCAAAAAGTTAAAAATGGAACTCCAATTTGACTCAGTAGTCCCACTTCTAGGACTATATCCAAAGAAACCAGAAACACCAATCAGAAAGGATATATGCACCCCTATGTTCATAGCAGGACAATTTAAAATAGCTAAGATTTGGAAACAATCTAAGTGCCCATCAGCAGATAGGTGGATTAAAAAACCTGTGGTATATCTACACAATGAAATACTATGCTACTGTAAAAAAGAATGAACTCTTACCATTTGGAACAGCCTGGCTAGACCTGGAGAACATTATGGTAATCAAAATTAGCCAGAGAAAGATATATATCACAAAATCTAACTCATTTGTGGAATATAATGAACATCATAAACTGATGAACAAAAATAAATCCAGAGACATGGAAGCATCAAACAGACTGTCAAACTACAGCAGGAAAGCAGGGATGTTTGGAGTGAGGTAAGAGATCAACTGAATGACTTGTATGCATGCATATAAGAATAACCAATGGACACAAGACACTGGAGGGAGAGAGGAGGGCATGTGCCAAGGGGAGGCCAATGGGGACAAAAGGAGATTTATGTACTACTATTTGTAATACCTTAAACAACAACATCAACAACAACAACAACAATAATAATAATAATAAAAGAATGGTTGAAAACAGTCCTAAATGGCGTCACTTGGTAACAATGTGAGGTAACAGATTATGTTAATTACCTTTACTGTAGTGATTATTTCATAATGCATATTATACTGAATCAGGTTGCACATCTTAAATATAAACAATGTATGCCCATTGTAATTCAAATATTTTCAGGTTAGGACTTTCATGCGCTCGCGCGCGTACACACACACACACACACACACACACACACACACACACATTCACATAAGCACACACACGGAGATGCCCACATTCATGCAGTCTCACATACATACTTCCCTTCATTAGCTTCTTCATACATCTCTGATCCCAAACGTATTTAAAAATATTCAAAGGGAGAAGGAAGGGGTGTGAGAATTGTGTGTTTTTAAAATATATATTTTATTGATTTTTTACAGGGAGGAAGGGAGAAGGACAGAGTTAAAAACATCGATGAGAGAGAAACATCAATCAGCTGCCTCTCTCATCTCTTTGACTCTGGGGATGTGCCCACAACCAAGGTACATGCCCTTGACCAGAATCGAACCTGGGACCTTTCAGTCTGTAGGCAGACGCTCTATCCACTGAGCCAAACCGGTTTCTGCGTGAGAACTGTTTTTAGTAAATGACACAAATATATCTGTGTCATGGCCATTGGTCCAATAGGCTTTTGTCATGGACCAGTTTATAAGGGAAATAAGGTGTTTATGCATGTTTATAAACTAGAAAAGAATTAAAAGAAGAAAAAAATCTCCACATAAGAACCATGGCACTATCTTCAGAGATATTTGTATTTGAGTTCTTTATTACACGGGAAACATGAATAACTTTTCCAGTCAGAAAGAGTGAGTCTGAATGATCTAGTGCACAGTTAATACTCCTTCTACTACAGTGATTCAGAAGTTTGGGAAGAGAAAAAGATAGTTCCTTGTGTCATAATCTTAGACCCAAACATAACAAGGTTGCCAAATTTTACAGGCAGAGCTCTCATTTTCCCAGTTTATATTTCTAAATTTTTAATGCTTTCCCCAACAGCTGACTGCTGGGAATTCCAAAAAGCAGATACTTTCAAAACACTCCTTGTGATGAAGTAGAAAAATCTGGATTAGTAGGCAGTTGAAATGGATTTTTTTGCTTCAGCTATTCCACTAACTTCATGGTTGTTAGCAAATCCTTTAACTTTGGGCCCTATATGTGGCAACATCAATATCACAGGAGTGCGTGATATTAAAATGAGATAACTGAGATGGAAGCACCTTAAAATACTTGAAATGCTATATCATATGTATAATGACTACATTCCAGAAAATAGGATTTAAGAGGATTAAGCTGACCAGTATTATAAAAGGAAACAGAAGTTTGTAGAAAATTTTATTACAGAAAAGCCCAGTCCCTGTGGAGAAAAAGGAACCCTCGTGCACTGCTGGTGGGAATGCAGACTGGTGCAACCATTGTGGAGAACAGTGTGGAGTTTCCTCAAAAAACTGAAAATGGAACTCCCATTTGACCCAGTAATCCCACTTCTAGGAATATATCTCAAGAAACTAGAAACACCAATCAGAAAGGATATATGCACCCCTATGTTCAAAGCAGCACAATCTACAATAGCCAGAATCTGGAAACAGCCTAGGTGCCCGTCAGCTGATGATTGGATCCAAAAACTATGGTACATCTATACAATGGAATACTATGCTGCCATAAAAAAGAAGGAATTCTCATCATTTGCAGCAACCTGGATGGAATTGGAGAACATCATGCTGAGTGAAATAAGCCAATCAATGAAAGAGAAACACCACATGACCCCACTCATTTGTGGATAATAAAGATCATTATAAACTGATGAACCAAAAGATAGATATAGAGACAGTAAAGCAACAAGCAGACTGTCAAATTACAGCGGGGAGGGGAGGAGGGTCTGGGGGAGATAATAAGTCAACCCAAGGACTTGTATACATGCATATAAGTACAACCAATGGACATAAAACTCTGGGGAGGGAGGGGATATGAGGGAGGGAGGGAGGGGGGCAAAAAAAATCAATAAAATATGTAAAAATATTTAAAAAAATATAAAAAAATAAAAGCACATTAAACAGTCTAAAAAAAAAAAAGAAAAGAAAAGCCCAGTCCCATTATAGGTTTAAGTCTCCATTTCTCTTTGATGCATTTAATAGAATGGATTATATAGAGAAAAGGGAGTGTTACCAGGTAAGCTGAGGAGGCAGAGCCTGAGATAGCTCCAATGCAAAACATATTGCTATTCAAGGAGTAAGTTAAAGGTCAACCATGGGGCCATAACCCCTTCAGGGTAGCATCTAGCTGTCCAAGTGCACAGGCACCAGGGGTTTACCCTCACAGGCAATGACCACACGCCTAGTGCTGGCCGTGGCCTGATAATTGCACGTGGGGGGCTGGTAAAGTCCCATAATCGCCCTGTCTGAGCAGTAGGGGGCCTTGGAACTTCCTGTATATTTGCAATCTGTGACTCTTACTACACCCTCATGGCAGTTCATCTTGCCATTCTTGCACCGGATATTGGGGGTGCTGCAGATGCTAATAATGGTCCCGATGTCTTCATGGATGAAGGTGTTGAATTCCTTGCAACCACGCGAAGTCATCCCCCGTATTTGCATCATCGTATTGCAGTACAAGTTGGTGCCACCTCTCCCTGTAGAGTCTACATGTTGCCGCAGGAATCTTTGGTACATGAGCTGGCCATAGGAGGGCTGCACCAGCCCCAGCAGGGTCAGCAGCAAGAGCAGAAGCAATGGAAGGGTCTTCTGGAGAGCCATTGCTACCTTGGAGGTGCCTGGAGAGAAACCAATAGGTAGGAGAAAGGAAGTTAATAAATGGGCATCAGAGAGAGGTATTGAGAATGGCAAATTGATATTTCCTCAATACTGTTGACTCCTCTTTCCTCCCTACTTCTCTACTCACAGCTTTTCTCATCACTGCTTCCCAAAGAGTAAAAAGTTTGAAAACATGATCTTCTCTGAAAGTAAGAGCTTTTCTCTGATAGAGAGAGACACTGCTATAGTCAGTAGAATGATTCAGGGCAGAGACTGACGGGTTGGATGTCTGGGTGTATGTGTCCTGTATAGAAAGGGAGAAAAGGCAGATTTGAATGAAACTGGGGAAATTCTCTAGTCTCTTGAGGAAATTTTCTAATCATGTGATCTTTGGAGAGTATTTGGTTCCCTGGAAACTCTGATTTCCAAAAGTTTGGATAGACAAGATATGCCAATGAAAGTTCGTTAACTTGTTTTAATTCCGAAATATGGGAATTGACAGAGGTGTGGAAAACAGGACAGAGTAATGTTTAGGGTTAGCCTGACCACTGATGTGTCTATTCCTTTTTTAAATTAAAAAAAGTTTCAATTACAGTTGACATATAATAGTAATCTTAGTTTCAGGTATACCACACAGTGATTACACATTTATATACCTTATAAAGTGATCATCCCATAAGTCTAGCACCCATATGACACCATACATTGTTACTACAATGCTATTGACTATATTCCCTATACTGACTTGGCATCCCCATGGCTATTTTTAAAACTGGCCATTTGTACTTCTTAATTCCTTCACCTGTTTCACGAAGTTGACATTCTTTTAATGGTATTAAAATCAAGTCTGTTTTGAAATCTTGCTAATCCTATTTAAAAAAATAAGAAAGTATCCAGCCAAAGTACTCTGAAGATAGTAAATAATGGTTGAATGAACTAATAAACAAAATGAGGGAATGAAATGATATGGGTATTAGGAATGAAGGTGATTCCCAGGCTTGTGGAATTGACTGAAAAAAGAAATTTTAAAAATAAAAGTCAATAGCACCATCTCCACAAAAGAGGACTTGGACTGTGACTTGTTTCCTTGCTGTTTCTATGCACAACCAAAAACTAGGCCTAGTGATGTATTTCATTATCATGCATGTCTCCTTCATGCTATGTCTGTCTCGTCAATAGCTGTTGCTAGTTTTCTGTAGCCTCTAGTTGCAGAATCATGTTGTTGACACTTTTGGCAGTGTAAAAAAAAATATATTTAATAGAGTTTAAAAACAACACAAAAACTAAGCAAAAACCTTCAGAGCCACAACAAAGATAGCATTGCTATATTGTGTCAGAACATTGCTTCTATGGAGCGAGAAAAGGAAGGAACCCAGACTTATCTGACTCTAAAATCAGTGCTTTTTCCACATCTTCTACTGCCTCTCTCTTTCCACTTCCCAAATATTCAGGATATTCAAGACATTTATGTCCAGAGTTGCTTCTCTCTAGCAACAGTTTAATTTAGAGTTGAATAGGGTAAAAGTGGAAGTGGGAATCTCTCACCAACACTAACTAGGTAGATATTGCCTCCTGATGGTCACTCCTGGGATTGGCATGAACTCATGAACTAGGAATCTCTTTGACCCTGGCAATAAGGCAGGACTGACTCAATAGAGCAGCGATTTTCAACCTTTTTCCTCTCATGCCACACATAAACTAATTATTAAATTCTGCAGCACACCAAAAGATATATCATTTGTCAATCTGACAAAATAAGTAGGTATAATTTTGATTCATTCACACCAGGCAGCTATTGTGCTGTTTATAATTTTTTAATTTGACAATCTAAGGGAAAGGAGGTCAGTACTCCTGACTAGTCAGGTATTGCATGTTTTAAAAATTCTTGGGACATACCCAGTGAAAATTGCTGTACTAGAGGAAATAAAATTAATCTCTGACTCAACAGCAACCCAAAACAGAAAGGACAGTTTTTGAGGGTCATACAGGCCCATTTCTACATATGCAGTCCATGGGTTGATTATAGCTGAAGTCCTGGTTTAATGTGTATGGGTACTACTGTCCTTTGTTTTCAAAGATGCTGCTTCATGATGGCAGGTCACACTGGGTGACTGAAATGGCTGATGAGGGATCTGCATACCAGTTTAAAATATAACTTCATTCTCTACAATGCTATCTCCTATAGTCACAGCCACATTTTGCTTGTATACAAAAATCTAGAAATCTCTAGGGCACATTTCAATGCCTACAGCTATAGATATGAGATATGCACTTAGGAAGTCAGAGAAAGGAACAGTTGTGGGAAGAAGAGTAACAGGGAGAAATGATGCTTGATTAACTCCTCATCCTTAGACTAATGATAGAATTTCTGAAGGTATACTTAGCACTTGGATCATAGTTTTATCACAACAATGTACTTTGGTTATTTTCCCCAAATCTAATGTTGCATGGTTAATCTTGCACTTCTGATTTTGCCTGGGACTGTAACTTTTTCTCATCCTGATTCTTGGTGTCCAAGATATGATTTAGAAAGATAACTGGCTACAGAGAAGACCTAAACTATTCATGCAAGAGCAAATCCACAGCCTCAGCCATATAACCAACTGATTTAACAAGACATCAACAAATACTTGCCAACAGAAGTCCAATGTAGACTTTAATGGGTGTATCTCAAGCCTCTAGCTACAAAAGAAAATGAAATGATCCCCAAACTATCCCAACACATACTTTTTGGTCAAAACTTGTCTCAAAGAATTCTTCACTCTTGATTCTCAATATGAACTTCTTTTGATACTGTGATCCCAAAGAACCAGCTCTGTCACTTTAACTATAATCTTGGGAAAATTAATTAACTTCTCTCAGCATTATTCCTCATTAGTAACTGAGTATAATAATACCCACCTCTTAGGGATCTTATGTGGAATAAATGATAAAATCAATGTCAAGTGCTTATCTTAATGCCAGGATCACAGTAAGTGCTCAGTAAGTGTTGGCAATGATCACTTTTGCAATTTCCATTTTTCTTGACTTCCTTTGCTTCCTTCAATCTGGATAAAATAATTAATGACTATACCAATTTGTATATATTATTGCTCCCCTCTCCATTATTTTGTGGAGTACATGTATTCCTTCAAAATTAGAAGGCTGTTTTTAAGTTGAAATATCTCAGCTACTAGATTTTATGCTGTGTCCCTACAGAAAAACTTCCTTGGCACATTGAGTGGAATTTTCTTCCTTGCATATCACCATCTTCAAAGGGTTTGATAATTTTGAGGTTTCTCTTTTCTTTTTCCTGCAAAGTTTACAAAATACAGATGACCAGGACTTCAATTCCTCAAATGATTCACTTGAGATACAGACTGACTTGCCTGTCACATGACATTTCATTTTAAGCAGGTTTAGGATGTGAGAGAATAAGAAACCCAGAGCAAAACATGCTAGGATTGGCTACCAACTTCTAGGTCAGCAAGCAACCCCATCCATTGTCATGTGATTTTCTAGGCAACAGCCATTTGCCCTAACACCAGAGCAGAGAATGCAATGATAATACTCTAAGCATATTTTTGGAGAAGACATGTATTTTCATAGCTATGGAACACTCAATATAATAATGGTCCATATTATGGCCTGCCTTATAAAAGCTTTGAGTAGGTCAGTGATCTCTATGGAAGTCATCTTGCATCATATCAGGGTGGAGGTACTGGTGGGAGAACCTGAGAAAAGGTTCCAAATATTCTGCTAAAATCTGGACCTTTCTCACATTCTAAGGGGTTTTTGAGATTTTACAATAAGGCAAATTTTCTATTAGGAGAGATTTGGAAATGACAATGATATCAAGTTTTAAATAGGTTAAGTCAAGGAAGAAAGATTCATGTGCTGAGTGTGCACGCAACAGTAATTTACTTCTCCATTTCTTCCTCCATAAATTTAAATACTTTTAGTGAGAGTGGGCTTTCCCAGGTGGCACCTGGACACTAATCTATAACCTTAGTATTGAAAAAGCAAGGCTTTTGGCCCATTTCAGGGCAATGTAGGCAGCAGGAGTGGGTACAATTGTGAATACCATAACCAGTTCAGTCATATGTTCACAAGAAAGCAAAACTAGTGACATATAGTTGTAAGTTATTTACGACTACTTTCTTGTAGAGAGTGAATGGGAAGGCACATGAGAATTTCTTTAATTATTGTCAGCTGAATCCAGTGTCACTGGCAGAGCCACGTCCTGAAAACACACCTTGCCAGAGGCAGGTGTGCTGTCAGCCTGACCTTCAGCTCAGGCACCAGGGGGTGGGTTTCATTATTTAAATCCAGCCAAGCACCAGGAACAAACATGATTATCCGATTCCATCTAGAAGTGATGATTACAAAGAATCCACAAGAATGCACATAATCTCCTTTGTCTTGGGCTTTAGTAAAACTTCCTGGTTATTGCTGTATAAAATAAATGCACAGTATTGGCTCTGAGTCCCTGTCTCTCCATCAGAGGACAGTGGTCCCATCCAGTCCCAGCTTTATTTCTGTATTTGTGAATGTCTCTTTCATTTTCTCAATCTCCACTCTCCCCTACTCAGGAACCAGACCACTCTCTAGCTGCGCTGGATGCAAAGAAGAGAAATATTTATACTTTCTAAATAAAATATACAGGCACCTGTTGCTAGAAATTAGGTAACAGAAAGTTTACCACTAAATCTGGGATTTGATTAGTATCCTATATAATAAAAAACCAATATGATAATTAGACCTTCTGGAATGACCAGTGGGTGGGGAGTGGTCCTGTGAGACAGCCAGGGCTATGAGAGCCTACACTTGCACAAATTACATGCATTGGGCCTCTAGTATTTTATAAAGAAAACAAATCTGTTTTTAAGATTTGTCTTTACTTAAAAACAAATCTAGATGAAGAAGAATAAGCGATAAGCTTGGAATCTTTCTATAAATTCCCAAAGACCTCATAGTTGCCTGACATCTGTTGATAAAGTAAAAGATTCAAGAGAAAATAATAG